AATAATTTTTAAGTATTTTAACAGTTCTAAAACTTTGAAATCATTCACAAAACATTTTCAGTCTACCGAAATTTTGGAGAATGTATTGTTATTTGGTATATTTATAGCCACAGAGCCTCCAAATATACAAAAATCATCAATCGCTAGAACTGTGAAGTTGAACTAGCGGCTGAACAGTAAAATAGCTGAATACTTCTATTCTGATCTTGGTTGAAAGAATATCTAATGAATACTACTACTAATGAAAGGATGTGTATACGAGCCAGTTTCCCTTAGAAAGTCCTTCACGAAGGCATCCCTTCCCTCAGGCAGATAGCCCTAGTGTGCTTTTCCATAATTAAATACACCACACCACTAATGAAAGGTCTGGCTGCATGGAAATTTTCAAGGTTGTTATATGTATAACATGAATATCCGATTTTCCCTTAAAAATACTCTACGAATGCATTCCTACTCTCAGCCTTTGCATGTTTTGCAGTAATTCAAATGATCCAAACTAATATACTTCTGTAGCAGGAAATTTCAGGCCCAAACTAAAGAATGAAAATTTAGAATCTTTTATTTATTTAGTATCGAACAAACTGCCGCCGCTGTATTGCTGATAACAGGTAATAAGTTCTTGTTTATATTTTGAGACAGTACGCTTTATTGCCTTCATCTATGAAATATACCCTTGCTATAAGACTAATGAGAACAATAATTCACAAAGATATGTTGGACGCAAAACTTTACACAAATATTTTTGCAAGGATTTTACTATCTAGTTCTAATCACTACTTTTCAATATTCTTCAAGGCTTCTATCTAATTTCTCAAGCTATTTTGAAACCTACTAAATCACGTTTAAAAATTTCCGGTTTAAAAAGTTCCCATGAAAGCATCTGAAAGTGTAGTTTAACCAGCTTTTTAATGCCTAGAATCTTAATTAATTTTGTGGTCTGTTCTAGTTCCCTGAATTTCATTAACCTTGCAGAGAACTATTCAACATTCGAATGAGTGGGCCTTAAAAAACAGCTTTTTGTAGGCATGGATTTTGAACATCTTTCAAAATTGTAGGATTGATTGCTCCATATCTTACATTTTGCGTAAACTTCAATAGTACAGTCTCGTAAATAGGAAGTTTATGTCATTTCTTTTATTTATTATTACCAAAATAGTTGATAGTATTTGTTCCTTCATTGTATTTTTCTTCGGTATCTCTTGCTTAAAAAAATTATACTGTACTAAATTAAAATATAAAGAACATCGAAAAAAACTGAATATTTATTTATTTAATTATCTAGTGAAGTCTAGTTTGACGATACTACAAGTGTTACTTCTGGTTCAGGAAAATATATCTAAAATACCAAAACTCATGAGGAATTTATTCAAAACGCATGAAATGAATTTCTCCGCGAATTTGGGGGGACTGATATTAAATTGGAAATTTTATATACAAAAATATACAAAATCATAGCCGATTTTCCTTCAGGTAGGAAAATTTAAAAATATATAGTGTACAACCTTTCATGTAATGTAATACTTATGAAAGTAATATTTATTTTATGAGCTCTTCCTTCCGATATATCAACGATTAGTTAGTTTACAACTAAGAAGGCCGTGAACCACTTGCCTCTAACATTAAATTCATCAAAAGACTACAAAATATTCATTATTATTTTGCAACTAAGTGATGCATTCATCAGCCAACTCGCCCAATTACGCATCTATAACACGTCTCACGGCCGAGTAGCCATGCAGGATAAACATCAATCGAACGATCCCCGTGTGTTGTAGTACGCTTAATCAGGAAGTGTTTAGGGGGAAAGACCAGAAGTTTAAACGCCTGAAAAACCACTACACTCAGCGAGGGGAGAACTGCTCCACTGATCTTGTTAGAACTGTGGAACCCACCGTGTCCTATCGGTGATTAAGCAGAGCTGAGGGAAGTACCACACTCCTAATTCAATTACTATACAAAACTTAGGGACTAAAAGACCCCGACCCCGCACTGAGAGACTGGTTTAGTTTCGTGACTCTTCCTCCCTCTTCTTTTTAGGGGTTTTCAGTTGGGTGCTTTAGTAATCACGATCCTGCAGACACGAGCTTGGAATTATAATATGCTCCTCTATGGCTTTATCTGTGCACTATGTCTCACTTCTTACATATAGAATTAAAAAATGAATGTGACTTTTCATGTCTGTTTTGATCACTTCTGCTTCATATCTGGGAACAAAAGTATGGATGAGAGAACTGAAATATGGAATTGACTTTGCACTTTATTACTATTCAAAAAATAAACATTTTCATATATGAGGCTCATGTTTTTTGTATTAGTGCTTTAGTATTTTCTTTACTAATTTCCACCCTCTAATTTTCATAAACCTTATCAGCTGCCCTTAAAGCGATTCCACGTTTTTTTCTTATTGAAAACTATTTGGCAATTTAAAAATTAATGTTAATTTCTTAAATTGGGTGGAAATTTAAATGGTTCAGCTCTTATACCGGAATCAGGGGCTGCAACATAGAGGTACTTGTTGATAGTCCCTGTTTTCAGCATAAGAGAACCATGGGCTGGCAACTAAGAGAGCGGTTCAAGAAATACTATTTCGTAGCTCAATCAGTTTGAATTAACCTGCATATGAATTTAACTTCAAAGGTTTTTTAAAGCAACTATAAAATAAAGAAATAAAGAATTTCTACTTTGATTTTGATACAATGATGAAGCTAAGATTAACGTTAATTCAACTGGCATTTCTGGCTTCTAATAGTTCCCAGACCATACAACGACTGCACCATCCTAGAGTTCCTAAACGCTTTTATTCCAGAACAAATGCATAACAAAATGCGCATGGTTTTATAGATACATGCTACAGAAGAAGAATTTAGTGTTTTATAAAGGGTACAGAACTCAATTTAAACTTAGAATGCTGGTAGCACCGATGTGTTTGTTTTAGCAAAATATTGATAGCAGCAAAATGTACTTTGCCATGTATTGCAAGAAAAGTGTAAAAACCAATATAAAAGCAGCATTTGTAAGCAGCATGCTCATTTATTTTGTTCCGTGAAGCTTCACTTATAATCAACAATGGATTTTTTTTATCATTTATTATACTGATAAACAGATTCTGAACATAACTAAAGCTTCTTGGAAGACATTTTTAGTATACTGTCAAATATGAACAATGACTTAATGTCATTACTCTGAAAACTTGAGTCTTTAATCTGATATGGCGGTTTCGAAACTCAGCAGCTTCAAGAAATTAACACTTGTTTCATTAGGAAACTTCATTAGAAAAATTAATTAAGAAATTTTGATAGGGTAAAATTTCTATCATTCTTAGAGTATGTACCATAGAAACTTTAATAAGCATTAAGAGTTCATTCATGCGAATACATTATTAATTATGAATTATATTCCTTTTATAGTTTTTTCGCTCTTTTCGCTTCTATTTCTATTTGCTTATTTCAGCAAATAGAAATACGATATTTCCATATGATTGGAACCAAGTTTGATTGTTTTAAGAAATTTCAGAAATAGTCATGATTTATATAAAATAAATCATGACTATTTCTGAAATAAAATAGTCATGAAATAATTTTATTTAATTCGAGGTATATATTCTAATAATGTAGAAAATATTATGCTCATAGACTACCTGATCATGTATTTGAATTCCATGTATTTTGATTTATGTTTCTTAATTTCCTTTTGACTATAAAAATATCATAGTTCTTGCTATTAAGATCAACATTCGAAATACAAAATTGCAAGTTTCAGTTTTTCAATATAGTTTCCCATATTTCTCAGGACACTAACCTTAACTCGCTTGCTTATATTTGAAAAAGGAAGTCTAAATGCTTTTTAATTCAAAACTTAATTATTTTTGTAGACATATGAAATTTAGTTGAATGAGTCGTGTGTTTTTCTTCCAAACACTGTAAAATTCGGAAATTGTCTTTTAAAATCTTATTTGTAATTAATGTCAAACTATGTATTAAAATAGACACTAAGAGCTCTTTCTATTAATTTGAATTAGAATAAAGTATTTAGTCGCAATTTAAATTGACAAAAATTATTAGAACCTTTAATAAATTATAACATTAAATTGACTGAAGTGTTCATAGCTTGTTTAATTAGTTCCCCCGTTCCTAAATACTGGTCAATTTTTTTGTGTGTCGCAGTGATAAGAGATAAGGAATTCATCATTGCAGTCTATTCCCAAAACTAGAAATGATTAGAAGTAACTCCTGTAACTGGTTTGGAAGGTGATAGGAGTCAAAAATTTAAGTTCGTCTACTTTTTATCTCTTATGTCGTCTTTTCCTGAAAACATTACGTGGTATAATTTTTTCCAATGGCAGATTGTGAACAATTACAAATGTAACCCAGTCCATTAATCTATACAAGGCCGGATGTCGTGGTCTCTTTATTATGGAGGCACCTAATAGGTGGGCCATCATCGCCTTTCCTATGAAGGGACAGATAGTTACAACCATGCCTTCTCCGGCATTCAAACCCAGGCCCTTCGGCATCGCAGTCGGCTTCCCGAACCACCATACCGACTGGGCGGCTTACGTGGTATATTAAGAAAATGATTTTATCTTCAACAGCATATTAACCATATATCGAGTTAAAGCTCAACACAATGTGGTACGTAAAGTAGTGAATTCATTATAATAATCATGGACACAAAATACATGTACTACTATTTCTTCCTGCTATGTTATCAGGCTTAAAATTTTAGTCGCATGTTATAGGAATGATAGGGGTATGAAAACTGCATTGCTGATCACTGTTGCAGGTGTAAAAAACCCTTCGCTCAAGATGCTTTTGGAAACAAAATTGTGTTTTAATCCTCATAATGCATGCGTATGGTAAAATCTCTTGAACTAAATGGCATAGCATTTTTAAGCAAGTTTTTTTTTTTTTTTTTTTTTTTTTTTTTTTTTTTTTGTAAATTTGACACTATAGAAAAAGTTCCCATACTATTAGTTTAACTTCACCTAAAATATATCTTACTTGAACTCTGGCTTCTGTGAGGTCCGTTCTCATGGCGATTTCCTCCCTTGTGTAGATATCCGGGTAATGTGTTTCCTGGAAGGCTTTTTCCAATTCTTTAAGCTGGGCGCTCGTGAAAGTGGTCCGGATTCGACGCTGTTTTCTTTTTTCTGTTAGAACACCTTCATGAACGGGGTACACTTTATATGGTGGAAGGCCGGCAGCTGAAAAGATGAAGGAAAATACATATTCGAAACAGTAGGTAAAATACTTACCTTGCGACTAGTAGATGAATGAGAGTTATTTTGAAACAGAATATTATAGCTGTGTATTTTTACTTTAAATGATAACATTACATTTTATGGTAGATATGCAAACTGAAAGAGACACAGAAAACAAAAGTATTTCATAATTTCATGGAAAAAGGAATTCCTTTTCTCACAGAGCAGATGTACAATAATACGTATTAAATTTATATAAAAATTAGAACAGATGGTACCTTATGCAGCAGCTTACAGCCAGTGCTATACAAGCATGGCAGACTTTTCGCTGTCTTAGCAATTTCTGGTACCTTTTAATATTAGCACTAAGAAAACAAGCGAACTAATCAGCCTCCTGGTTCTCTTTTTCCTGAAAGTGATGTCCGTTGCCTTCGTCTTCAATGGCATATTTAAAGGTTTCATTCGATGACAGCGCTTCATACGCTGCAGAAATGTTCACGTAGATAGTATTAGGTAAAGGCAATCGAGGCTTTCATGACTGAGGGATGACAGATGATTAGGCAAATGACAAGATTCTGCTTCTTCTTCCCATTTTCAATCGTTCTTTCAATAGTTACCAGTACAGAAAGTCTGAAGAACGTAAGCATTACACGTTACCAGAACACGGATTGTAGCACCAACACTCAGCCCGTTGTAGTTTAATTCAATAGAAATGCTTTTGAACTGAGTTTTCTTCACGCTAGAGGTGCTGGTAAACACTTCCTATTGCTTAGAAATAAATATAAATACTTTTTTTTTAAATTTAACTGTACGTAGTTACTTAATCATACGTAAAACGTTTGACAGCAATCGTAAATACTATTTAATATTAAAAAAGTAAGGCATTTTTTAATATGAAGACTGCTTGTTGCTCAAACTCTTAATTTATTTCAAAGGATAATCATATTGAAAAATATGATGTAATTATCATTCAGTTTTTGTCGTTAACGTAAACATAAAGAGTCAACAATGTTACAAAAATATCTAAATAATATTATCTTGCGTGAATAGCTGTAACGTTACTATTTACCTTCTTCGATTACAATCCCATCATATCCCTTTTAATTAGGCCCTGGCGTTATTTATTTGCTGAAATACTTTTTATTGCTAAACAAATTTGCAGAAGAGAGAATTGCTGTCTCCTAACGCCCTCCTATTATCGCTAAATCATTACAATGCAGTTTGTGAACGAGTTATTCAACCTCACCAATCAATTATGAGGACAAGGATTAACGGTGATAAAGTGAGAGAGTTAGTCCAATCGTATGAGACACATCAGACAAATGAATAGACTGATGGGACTAAATCAGCAAAACCAATAATAGCAGAACATTTCATTATGCACAGATATGAGGGCTCGGGTATTGATAATGTCAAAGATTAGCACGCACTTTTTTGGTAGAATTTATTATTCAGAATAGTAATAAATAAATATAACAGTTGAATGTGAATGTAAAAATTAAACAGGAGGAGAAAATTGGTTCTTCCTTTAACGCCATATTCATGTGCATTTGTAAGTGATTTGTGAAAAAGGTAAATCTTTCAGCTTTTAACAACGATCGAAATTTCTCCGTCAGAACCAACACTAGAAATTTATTGTCGAATGTTTTCTGGGTAACAGAATACCCTGAGAATGATGTGCACATAGAAAAACTAGTAACTAGTAGCCTTTGTAATAATACAGCTCTACCTTTTCACCTAAAGTCGAAAGATAATACAACATTTAGTTAAAAGTAGACTTCGACTTTAGTCAAAAACTAACTAAATTTTTTTCAGTAAAACTAAATCCCTTTGACTAAAAATGAAGTTTGTTTGACTTTAATTAAAGGATACCCTAATACCTTTTCTGAAACCGTGGTAATCATGTCTAATGACTTCTGACTCCTTCCTCACACATGATTATGATAAGGCTGAGCCGTACAACTTTCCATTTATTTACTTTATTCCCTGCAATCTATATAATTTATTCTGTGTCATATTGACACCCTGATAAGCAGTTGTTAAAATGGACACTGGACTATCGCTATGAGGTCAATGGAATTAAGGACCTGACATTGAGAATTTGGATTTCCTAAAGCAAAGGAGAAGCTGGGATTTGAGAAGTGAAGTAGACAGAAGCCTTAAAGTAAGTATAGGTAATAATGCGGATTCTTTCTTCTGTACAGTTGAGGAGATGGGTATCCAACGACGTTAAAAAAAGGAATTCGTGCGATGGTGATCAACAGGTGATTTGATTAAAAAATACGCTTATAATTTATGACTATTCTTTATGCAATAGGGCAATTCATGGAATGAGTTTTATTCACTGGACGTTTCCAGTGTTCCTTAGTTATACTTAATCAAAAAACATGGCACAGCCCTTTGTTACACGCTCTTCAACAATAATTTCTTAGGCAAAAATTATAGAAAAATGAAAGGTTCGCGGATATTTTTGACGTAAATTAAACATTTCAATACCACCCCAAAAATAACAATAAACATTGTAATTTTTATTTTAAGAAGACTGGATTAAAATAGTTTGTGGGAAAGTCGTATAAACGTAGACGGTTTACTGCAGACTTTTGAATTAAAAAGAAAGAAAATTGGAAGAACTATAACAAGAAAAATAGTTCATCATCAAATACATTCTCTTTCCTGGTTTGTTATTTTGCTATGATTTCACTGCTTAAATGATTTGTAACTTTTTAGAATGCTAAGTTAATTTATTTTTTATATCTTTTTAATTTTTAAAATTAAGTTTCAGATGAATGACATAGTTATTAATCTGGTCTAAGTGTTACTGCGTCCCCAAAACCAGAATTTACTATATTTAGTGAAATAATTACAAAGGGCCCAATATGTCATGTAAGCAACTTTATTATGAATATTTTCCTTAGTTTATGTAGTTAATAATTTATTATAATAAACCAAAGATGCGAAAATATTTCTGGAAAGCTGAGATGTTTATTTTTTGCCTACCTAAAGAAATTTAGTGAATCATTTTCGAAACCAAGCTTATGCTTATGTACACAATGCATCATTTACTGACGTTTTATTCTTTTTTATTATTAATAATGTGAAATTTCAAAGCAAATCATTTAAGTTTGTTTTTCATCTTGTCATCCATATTAATTGCGATTGGTTGTCAACATTAACTGGGCTTCATTTCGGTAAAATACAAAATCACATGTACGTGAGACACGGTATATTAATAAGAGGTGAATTTCATGGCACTGTAAACAGAGCGAGTACCTTAAGCAGAATGAGTATCCTATAACGTCTTCATAAATAGAGTATGAAAAATGTGTTTTATGTTAAGTTTGCTTTCTTTCAACTGCCCATGATGTGCACAATTCAAAAGGACTTAAAATGTATTTGATATCTTAAATACATAAAAGAAGTTCTGCCCCCCCAAGGCAGAACACTTTCCAGCTACGCATTCGTCAAAAATGCCTAACCGATCGGCCTCATCGCTGAGAATGTTGCCCAGGGTGCACACAAGGTGAGCTGCATTGTGCTCGAGAGTAATGTGACTCGTTCCTTGATTTGTTTGAGGTGAGGCAGTCATGACAAGCGGCCATTTATCGTTACCCCATGTATTTAAGCTGACAGACTGTCATGACTAATGCTGGTGCACATCGTCGACGAACTCCTTTGCTAAATTTAAATGTAACCATCTTTGTGGCTGATACTGACAATTTATGCCTATTTCCCCAGTTGGTTAATATGTCTAAGCACGTTGGGTCTTTCTTTACCACAGCTCGCACAGTAGCATCACACACGGTGATGATAAAATCTTTGGCGTAAGCTATCACTTCGATATAAGGAATGTCGTGACGTTCTCACAAACTGAACTGGCCACCAGGTTTCATAAGGTAAAGACGAAGGTAGAATCTGTTGAAGAGACGTTTCACTTTCGCATCATCTGTAAGAACTTGCATGTTTCTGTTGCTGAGATATCTTGCAATGATGTTGTAGAGCGTTTTCAGATAGGAAACATTTATTAAGCTATCCAACACGTCAGTTCCTATAGTGAGTCAACTGCACCCTTCATAGAAACTTATCTTGATATCAACACTTGACATCAACAACTTTTCAGCTTAAACACTGGAGATTTAACATTTAGCATTTAAAAATGTCATCAACTTGATCACAGAACACATTAATTTGTCCTTTTATTGAAATCTTTTCATAATAATTAAACTAGTAAGACATTTTCTTAAATGAGTATACATCAGTAACTAACTGAACATTAAAAATGAAGGAAACAATATAATTTTACTGAGTTCGCTGCTTGCATTAATTACTGGACATCCTTATGAATTCTTTCTTTTACTATATTAATTTTCTTTAAACAAATCTCACAGCTGTAATAGAAGAGTATAAACTGACTACCTTTATGCGATTTCAACCTCCTGAAACCACTGATTTTGGCCCTATTCCAATATTTCTCTATAATCACTCTTACATTCTTTCGCTAACCGCATAGCGCCACTGAAGCGTGACTTCATCAAGACTAATCCATTAACACGTTCACAGTTATCCAACTCGAATCTCAGAGCTAAGCAGCATTGGAGAGGGTAAAATACAAGGTAGTTAACTTGGCTCTTATTTGAAGCTACAACTCTTCTTCTGAACATCAAGTTTACTGGATTATTCCCAGTACATTTAAACTGAAGTTTAACATAGTCATTAAATCATTGGAATAAGATTCTTAGTTTTTAGTGGCAATGCAATAGATGGTAATATTAATCTAGCGTTTTGAAGCTCTACTTTCTGTTTTGAAACAATGAGCTTAGAGCAGGGATTGTAAACCGTTCAGTTCAACAACAAATTATCCTGTTGATCCCGATATTGCTACATTTTAAAAATAATTATATTATTATTACAGGCAATGTCTGAATGGTTTATTTTAAGAAATATCAGAATACATTTTTCGAGTTATAATTCAAAGAACATATTTTTATACTTTTTCAAACAAAGGA